CAGCTAATGACCTGAGTACTTCAAGTCCGTTGCAAAAACATATGATCGCGCTGGCCCTGCCCGTGTGTTCCAGTCTGGGTTGCATTTATGGAATGAAGACGCATATTGACGAGAGACTATATGTGGGTGTGTCTGTGTGTATGTGTGTGTGTCTGTGTGTGTATGTTCATCCCAAGACCTATAAAAGCTACAGAGCTGAAACTTTGGGTACTTAATCCACATAGACGTACGGGCCTGAGTCCCTGAAATGAGAGTTCTTATCCGTGTGTTATCCACGTATGGGGCCGTGAAAGTTTTTCGCAGGTAAGTCGTTAACTCGGGAACCAGAAAAGCTAGAAAGCTGAAATTTTAAGAGGATGTTGCCTGTCCACGTAAGTCTTAATGAGCTTTAAACCAGTTCCCGGTATGCTTGGTACCCACGTACGGGCTTGCCAAAGTCTTTTCGGGTAGGTTGCTAACTGGGAAACCTGAGGAGCTAGAAGCCTACAATTTTAAGGTGATGGTCCCCGTCCATGTAGGTCCCAGTGAGTTCATAACTAACCTCTGGGTATGCGTGGTTCCCATTTACGGGCACATGAAAGTTTTTTACGGGTAAACTGCTAATTCGGGAACCACGAAAGCTACAAAGCTGAAATTTTTAGGGGATGTGTCTTGACTGTCCTGGCGGCTAGTCTCAATTCTTTTAGCTAGAAGCATCGCCGAAAAAACCGCTGCCGGTAACAACAAAAACTGCAGGGAACTATGGGAACTATGCATCTTCGCACCAGCAGTCGGGGCGTTGGCCAATTATTTAGTACTACTGTGCGGAAGACAATGATGTGCAAATGCGAAACTTGGTGATTACTGAAAGTTGAAGAGTGACTGTTAGCTGTGACGGAGAGGGCAAGAGCACGAAGGATATGTAGCATGCTTATTCTTGACAATACCTACGCTGGAACGCACTAGGCGACCGGTGCGATCATGCGTTTTTGCACTGTTTCGTACTCTAGCAAGATCGCAAGGAATCACATACTAGTCCTTGAAGTTTAGGATGTTAAGCTATGTGGCATGCCAATTTTAGATTTCGGCTTCAGTGACCCGACAGATGGAAAGTTGTTAATGAGCGAAAAAGGCCCCACTAGAAGAGCTGAATTTGAAGTCTTTTAGTCGCACGTGAATCGGGAGCATTCCCTTAATATTCCAACACTTTAACTTTTTTCGTTTCCGAGTAAGCAGTGTTTCCGCTAAGACTTTCACGTGCCCGTACGTCGGCCCCCGACGCCTCTTAACAGCTGATTCTGGTCGTACATGAGTAGGGAATATCCCCTAAATTTTCTGCTTCCTGGCTTTTCTCATTTACGAGTTAGTGTTTTTTCCGCTACAATTTCCATGTGTACGTGAGTTCAGGCCGCTCTAAGGAGCTGAATTTGAAATCTTCTGGTCCTGTGTGAGTAAGAAGCATTCCCCTAAAGTCTCAGCTTTCTGGTTTTCTCTTTGTCAAGTTAGCAGCTTTGCCGCCAAAAATTTCACGTAAACACGTGAAACTATGTGGATCCCGGGCACATTTAAATAGCTGGTTTCGGTCGTACATGGGTGGGGAGCACTCCCTAAAGTTTCAACTTTCTAGCTTTTCTCGTTCCCAAGTGGGCAGTTTTCTCGCCAAAACTTCCACGTCGTTGTACGCGAGGCCCTTACGTGTGTAAGAGTTGGTACCACGGTCCTGGGGTGACACTTGGCCGGGGAACACACTGGCAAAAATTTCAGCTTCAAAGCTTGCGTGGTTCGCAAGTTGAAATGTCCGAACAGACGAACACACACCAAACATACGCACATACACACGCAGTGAAGGGTTGTTGCACGCGTTTTTGCTGCTTGTTGCAGCGCTCTAGCGCTGCAGACCAAAAATGCATAAAAAAACGAATTCTGCGTTAGATGAGCAGTATGCATGATGTTATTGCGGACATGCGAAAAGGTTAAAACTGATAGGAGCGGATGTAAAATCCAATAGTACCGCTCGTTTTGCTGGCACTCGCTGAACATTACGCATTAGAGGTTAGTACTAGCGGAGCAATGAATGACTACTTAATTGGCTTCTAGGGAAGTGGTTTTCATAAACTGAACAGGCAGAAATAGCAGCTGGAGGTATGCAGCTCGAGAGTTCTTTCTCTATAATATCACTAACATGAAATGTTTCCACTGGTTGCCTGGGAGCAGTCTTGGTATTTTTAGCATGCATTGGGTGAGAGTAACTGCTAATTTCGTCTTGTATTTCGTCTTACCCTTTTCATGCATTTTCTGCTGTGTAACAGCGTTACACTCAGGCTGGAACGCACCAGGCGGGCCGGTGCGACTATGCGTTTTTGCACTTTCCGTACCGCAGCAAGATCGCAAGGAGTCATTGTAGCTAACCCTGTGAAATACTGGCCCTCGAAGTTCGGAAGTTAATTGCGCTGCTATGTGGTATGTCAGTTGTAGGTGTCGACTTCAGTGACCCGACAAATGGAAAGTTGCTGGTTCGCAAAAAAAAGGCCACGCTAGAAGAGTTAAATTTAAAATTTTTTAGTCGCACATGAGCGGGGAACATACCTCTTAAACCGGGAAGTTAATTGTGCAGCTATTTGGTATGTCAGTTGTAGGTGTCGACTTCAGTGACCCGACAAATGGAAAGTTGCTGGTCCGCAAAAAGCTCCACGCTAGAAAGTTAAATTTAAAATTTTTTTGTCGCACGTGAGCGGGGAACATGCCCTTCAAATTAAAGCCTCCAGCTTTTCCCGTTCCCGAGTTAGCAGTTTTCCCATCAAAATTTTCA